TATATATAGACAAGCGGATGTTTGCTTGTTCATTTAAAATCCACGAGCCGAGCGATAATCCCATTTCCACTGTTGCGTCACATCAGCAGACAACTAGATAAAGATGACGTCACCGTCGCGCTGGCCCTGACGAGAGCCATCGGAAGGGAAAAACCACGCTTGTCTCGCCGCGCACAGGATATCTCTTATCGCTAATACATAGTAATGGAGAAGCGAATCTAAATTACGGCGCTAAGAAAAATGACGCCCGTGAATGGGTTCCGAAATCTCTCATTTACGTTTTTCTTAGATCTCCATCCTTATCAAGGTCTATTTTCGTTCTCCTCTAAATAAACCAAATGTTAAATATTCTCGTTTTGTTATATAAAAAAACGGGATAATCGTGATCGCTTCTATTCATTATATACAAAATCAAACACGAATTATTCTTTCCGTCGCAATGAAGCAAAAAAGCAGCCACCAGCGCCGACTGCCGCTGCATCATTAACTTCCCGACGATCGGAACTCACGCACGGCGAGCCCTCCGCACTCGCCTTTCGACCGGCCTTGTTATCAAATTAAAAGTCTTTGAAAAGCCACATAATTTTTCATGGGCAATAATACAATATCAATGACAGGGCCGGACACACGCACCAGCAGGCCACGGAGCCACGAGCAGATACAGAAGAAGCAGACGCAGACGCAGCAGACACGCGCGAGCAGGACATCCACTCGCACACATGCCAGTCACGGGACATGCGGGCGAGAACCGACTCGGTCTCCATCGCCCCCCCCCCTCCCCCCCGCTCAAATCCTGCACTCACACCAGGAAAACGATCACCGGACAAATCAAGATCCCCTGAAATCCGTCCAAACCACCAAATCCGGTCCCTCATGATGCCTAAGTATCATTCCACAAACATCACCACCGACAACTGCAACACGTCACAAAAACACACACACTCACAAACTCAACCAACAAAAAAACACAAAAAAATCAAAACACACTACGGCAAAACAAAGGAATATGCAACGAATAACATAAACCAATAAAGACCTCACAACCAAAAACAGCAACACTCAAACATAACAAACCACAAAAAAGCCCAAATATGCAGAATAACTAAATAACTCGATACTCCAAACAAAAATGATCACCACAACAAAAAACGCTCTAAAAAAGAATAAACAAAAAACCCCGGCACCACTGAATCAAACATTGCATGCCAACACCCCACCAGGCAAAACCAAACCAAACAACGGAACGAACGAATCACAGAAGACGTCAGTGCAAGCATTACTAAACAAAAGCCAACAAGCCGCACACCTGCATTAAAACCATGACAAAAATAACGCAGGCAACAAAACGCCCCCACCGCAAATCATCCGACATCAGTACAACAAGACTCAAACGCACCTCTACACCACAGCGACAACGGCTTCAAAACACCTCCCTCGACCCGAAGCATTACAAGCCCGACAAGGAATAACTCCACAAACACCCTACCCCTACAAACATCAAACGCCAGAAAAAAAGAAAAAAAAAAAAAAAAAAAAAAAAAAAAAAAAAAAAAAAAAAAAAAATCAAAAAAAACAAAAAAAAAAAAAAAAGATCAACATCAAAAACAAAAAACAAAAAAAACAAAAAAAAAAACAAAAAAAAAAAAAACCAAAAAGAAAAAAATAAAAATAAAAAAAATAAAAAAAAAAAGAAAAAAATAAATAATAAAAATCAACAATAAGGACCTAGAGCTGTGGTAGAAGAAAAAGAAGAAAATAAATAGAACAGATATATAATAAATGATAGTCAAACCAGACTAATTAGGAATAGATGTTAAAAAATAAAAAATGAATAGAATATAATTATAAAAATAATAGATATATATTAATATGATTATAATAATATAAAAAAAATAATATTGTGATATTGAATGCGATAGTTGTGTGTATTATATGTAATGTTTTTTTGGTGTTTTACATAGATGAGTTATGAGATATATAATGTCAGATATATGTAGACATAAATATTATTACGATATAGATGATATATAATAATGTTATAATGAATATAAATATAAATAATAAAAAAAAAAATATAGTTGGTTTTAGTGGTCTATGTATGTTGATCTTGTACCGTTGAGCTCGTACTGGGAGCGTTAAGCTGACCGATTGCGTTGTGCTGTGTTGTGGTGTGTGTGTGTGTGTGTAGTGATGTGTGTGCTGTGTGTGTGTGTGTGTGTGTGTGTGTGTGTGTGTGTGTGTGTGTGTGTGGTGTGTGTGTGCGTGCGTGTGTGTGTGTGTGTAAAGTTGTATGTATACCTGTGTGCATATGTATAAATGTATGTACGTATGTAAACATGAAATTAACTTATAGGAGCAGGTAATACATATACTAAAAGGTAAACAGTGCAAGGGAAACAATCAATTATTTCAATGACAATTTTTTGTTAAACCACAAAAGCAAATTAACCATAAGGAACTAATGAAATATGCAGTTGATACATGTAGTTAAATAAGTGTCATGGCCTATACACAGGCCTAAAAAAATAAACTACATATAATCTGGTATGACAAAGCCTGGCTATTTGTTGATTTATTGCCAAGTCCCTAAGGTGGTCTAAAAACCACACGCATGGTGGTCATGATCACAGTGATGTCCAATTCTTATTGTCAGATTTAATTCTATAAATCAAATAACCTTTCTTTAAGTTGTAACATCAATCATAGAAAGCTGCCTTAAAATTAACCAGTTTAAAGGCGTCATGTTCTGTTTACCTTGTTGCTGCAATCTGTACATGTGCAATTAACTATAGCAAATATAATATACGTATTATCTTTTTAATTTATTTATTCATTTGTTTGTTTATTGATTTTAACTTATTCATAAGCAAGTCAACAGGTGCTCTTTGACTGTACAGGATATGAATCTAGTCTAATGACAGAATGTTGAGCTGTTTATGCTTAATGAGCTACTGGATGTGCCTCTTCTCCACTATTGAAGAAATAGTTGTTTGACCCCATAAATGATATAAACAAAAAATAAATTTCAATATCTGTTCATAGTTATAACTTTATGTCAACCCCCCATATTGAACCAAAAACTGAAAACTAATCTATTTTCTAGTTAACATGTGACATGCACCTTTATTGATACTGTTTCCCAATGAGGAATATATAAACACAAAAGTATAGATAATCTAAATAAACACAGATAGTACAATTGATATCACAGTATTTTTAAGTCTGTTACCGACCAAGAGAGTTTGTTAATATATAATATACTCACATGATCACTATATACTTAAGCTTTATAAAGTAATTGACTTTGATCTTCTGAAATCTAAATTAGTAATTTCACTTTACTAGACTGTTAAATGAACTGATAAATACCCCACAACCTATCAAGCATAACTTGGCAGAAACACCATATTTCTCAGCAAACCAAAGGTCAAAGACAGTCTGTGGGATCTGCATTGCATAAACTTGTTCAAGAGTAGATTGAATTTCCAACTGGATAGTATAGATCCTCAGAGACTAATGTTTGCACAACACATCATGTTACACAATGCCACCTATTATATTGTTATGAACTTCCTCCATCTTCTAAATATATAATGAGAGGCAGATGTTTACAGTACTTTATGGATATGTGATGTTTAAAAAGAACTTCTTGAGTCATGGAACAATTCTTAGGTATGTAGCCTAGAGTTTAGAACATACTGAACTACCATGTTTATGAAATATATTTTTTCTTTACCAAATATCAATGATATATTACCAGATTATCATATGGCCCTGTGAAACACCTTAAAAAAAAAAAGTTGGTACTTTCTTACAGTACAGACACACTTACCAGCGATTAAGTCCCCAATTCCTCATCACAAACTCTATTCAACAATCTAAATTGCTGAGACTGGGTGACTGCCTAAGGAAAGAGTTGACACCCCTGGCAAACATTGTCTTCACCTCGATATGTTAGGCAAGATAGAGCTAAAACTCAGGAGCACCAAGTGGACTTAGGCTGTGAGAGGTGTTTTCCACAGTTTTTATAGATTTTATTTCGGAATTATCATTTGTGTCTGCAGATTATTTCTTGTACCAACAACTATTACTATTTTTCTCTACAAGAATATCTTTCATTTGTCTTGGTTTAGTCCATCCATACCATAAAGTTTAACTAAAAAGTTTAATAACTGTCCATAATTAACCAATATATAGACATTAAAGTTTGTGAAGATTGGTAGGCTGTAAATATAAATAAGCTAGAAAGAAGGTGAAAAAAAAAAAAAATGCTTTTGTTAGCTAAATCCTGGCCTTTATAGGGATTCTTGTGTCTTTATGGGATTCACAAGGTTAAGCCTACCTAAAAATAAATATTACAAAAGAAATAAAGTCCCATGAACATTCTCATGTATCACTGTGAACAGTGTTATCACAGTTCATAAAGCACACTTGTTCAGTACAATAACCTAGCCATGAAATCTGATTTGCACAAAAACACAAGCATCAAAAAAGATAGTAATCTTTCTCGAGAGAGAGGAGAGAGAGAGAGAGAGAGAGAGAGAGAGAGAGAGAGAGAGAGAGAGAGAGAGAGAGAGAGAGAGAGAGAGAGAGAGAGAGAGAGAGAGAGAGAGAGAGAGAGAGAGAGAGAGAGAGAGAGAGAGAGAGAGAGAGAGAGAGAGAGAGAGAGAGAGAGAGAGAGGAGAGAGAGAGAGAGAGAGAGAGAGAGAGAGAGAGAGAGAGAGAGAGAGAAAATTGACTGCTTACATCGTCAGGAAGTTTCAAACTCTGCTACATAAAAGTCACTGCAGAGAAAGCATGAACACATAATATTCTTCCAATAACAAAGTACAACAACACCTTTAATACTTTTACAATAACCTAAATGACCTAGGTTCCTAAAAGATGCTTACCTGTGGGTGGGATGGCTGCAAGTCCTGCGGCGGGAGGTTGCGGAGGCACTCGTCCCTTAGGTACTTGGCCGCATGGCACTTTCCCTTCTTGAGGAGGACCTGTGCCGT